TTGACGATATCGGCTTGTCATACATGTTGAAATCTCACTAATGATTTTTGAATGATGGATTGTATTAATTTAAGTGCTGCTTTTTCTTTGCTAACTACAGCAGTATATTTCTGGTTGTTTTCTTTAATTGAAAACTTATAGATGATAGTGTTTGAGAAGGCGTTGAAAAAGAACAAGCTGAGTTGTCGATCGAATTTACTTAGCTTTAATCCCTACTCGAGTGTTGTATGATCTTGGTAGTTTATTTCTGCTGATTGTTTGAAACTTTTATGGAGATCAATAAAATGAATTAAAAGACGACTAACATTAATTTTCGAGACTAGCTGTGGTTCTAAGAGTGTTTTGTAAAAATTAGCAAGATCAATGTGTATCGGTCTGTATTTAAGGCGCGTCGAGATACGCGAAAAGAAGAATCACTGAATAATTCTTTGCCTTTCGGATTTGATGTGAATGTTCAACTTGGTCCTATAGTTTATAGATGCTTAATATTACCCAGAACTTTTAGGTGATTAGGAAAGAAAGAAAATTAACGTGAATCTTTTAAAAGTTCTGATTGTACTAATAATAATTCTTATTATTAGATTCAGACACAAATCAATCTAAACGTGTTGATACATTAGCAACAAATCGTTCAACAAAGCCAACAACTGCAATCGCTACCGGAACATCAGCAATTAGAAAACCAGCTGTTAGTAGTCATCCACCGATACGTAAACCACAATTATCACAAACGACAACTATAACAGTTGGCGAAAAAATTCAAAATAAAGAAAATACGTCTCATTATCGATTGAATAATAATTTAATAAATTCCAAAAATGACAGCAAACATGGCTCTAGAAATCATCTCAATTATCTTAATGAAGTTTCAAATTCGTTAAGTCCCGCTGATTCTGTAGGAAGTATACCAGGTTAGATGATAAGAAATAAAACATTGACTTGATTCTTTGTATATTGGTCGGCTTTTTAGCTCCCCCCAGCAATTGTACGTGGCCATCATTGCCAAATTCTGTTCATAGTAGTCAATCAGATTTAACATCAGCGTCAGCATTAGCCGTTAAAAAACAACAACAATTATCATCAATTGGTAAGCAGTTATTGCTTAATTCATTGACCAATTTTCTTAAACATCTTTCATTTAGGCTCACTCCGTTCATCGTGTCCATCGAATGTGTTGCGTACTATGAGTGGTAGACCACCAAGTACAGTGTCAAACAAGATAAACGGTGGAAATCAGCGAACATCTACCATCAATCAATCACAATCAGTAAATCGTACAAATTACTGTAAGCAACGTAACTATCATCGAAGAAATAGAATGTTTGTTATCTTTTGAACTGATCAATTTTAAAGAGTTAGTGAGACTTTAACTCTTTCAAAATTAAGTTTTCAATGAACAATAATAACATGATCAAACAATTTTTTTGCTAGAAAAAGTCACATTTAATAGATCATGATGCCCACCTTGTACAACTGCCAACCAGACTACTTGGTGTTTAGTAAATGGTGCTACTGAACAGTTTTTTTCGTACTGTCTCAATATTATTGCGTTACGGGTTACACTCACTATACTTATTATGCAAACTATATTTTCAAGATTATTCTCTTATTATTTAAACAATCGTTTGTTTTCCTTATTTCTATTACAGCTAATCCAAAAACGATTGTTTCATCGTCGTCTGCACAGCAGTCATCAGATAAAATTGAAACATTACAAACTGAATTAATTGTGTAGGTTTATGAGCTATGACTTTGTACATATCTCTGTAATATTTTTTTCTATTTTTAGTCAACGTTTATTATGTCAGTCATTGGAAAAAACGAATGAAATTGGTCTAGCACAATATAAGAATTTATTACAGGGTTTTGATGTCTTGGCTGTAATAGCAAATTATTATTTTAATCAGGTTGGTAATCATTTGTTATACGTTTAACGGCGTGCGTACATATCTTTTTCTTTTTTTTGTTTGTTTTATAGAATGATCGAATACAAAACACGTTATCGAGAAATATTGAGCATTGTAACTACTTAGAGTTGTGTATCATTACATGATCACCAAAACATTTCTGTTATTTATTTGTTTCAGTTAGAAAGACGAATGAACAGTTAATTGAACAACATGATGTAAGTCATTAACACATAACTCAGTAGTTTCATTTGTTCTAAATTAATCTTTATTTTTGTTTTTACTTTTAGCATTCAAATCGAGAAGCAAAAGAATTACATGGAAAAATTATCCATGATATGCATGAACACTATAATCGTCTACTGAAAGACATGGAAGATAAACGTAAAAATGACCTGTTAGAGTATGAGGGACGTCTAAATAATCACACACAAGAAGCAAAGGTAACGCTATATGTATTGAATACACTATGTAATATATTCGGTTGTTTTTTTTCATGTCTAGAATGAAAAGGAAGAAATCGAGCGTCATTGTCAATTGTTACAAGCACGCTTACAATCTCATTTAGATAATATATCGAAAAATGATGGCAATGATACATTGATGAAACATATTGAAACTTTAGAAAAAGATCGAGAAAGTTTACAAACAGTTGTTGATATGAAAAATAAAGAACTAGCACAATTAAGAATTAAATATAATGAACAAACGTTTGCAGTATGTGTGATAGATATTTATGCTCTAAACGGTATGCTAGTATCACGAGTTTTTTTTCTAATATTTTAGCTCGAAGATAAACGTGCATTACAGAAGAAAATTGAAATTATTGAAAGTAGAAACGAAGATTTATCATGTCTGTTACAAAGACGGGCTGGTATTGAAAAGTAAGCCAGAAAATAGTACTATTGATTATCATTAACATTTTTAAATAAAATTTAATAGATACCTTTTGAGTGAACGATGATAATCTGTACTAATAATGGGTTAACAGCTGTGTATTGTTGTACTGTACAGTTTTATTTTAGAATATGAACTCATTCTTTTGATAGGAATATCTACCATAAAGTAAAAAATCATAAAAACACACTGTTTTGTTCATGAAAAGGTGGAGAAAATATATTCATGTCAGTAGAAAAACGCATAGTGATCACTGAGGCTAACTGATGCATTTTTTCAGTTTTTACACAGAATCAGTTCTTACTATTATACTTTATTTTTCTTTTATTCATTTGTTTAATCATATGTATATTAAATTTTATTTTAGGGAAGCAATTTTTCAACGTAATCAATTAAGACAAATGTTTTTACAAAAGGAACGTGAAAATCGTCGTTTAACATTCGAAAATGAAACATTACTATATCGTTTGAATACTAAGCCTCCAACAACAGAATATGATTGCAAAACACCAACAAGAGATTCATCGTTAACAGCATCTCTCTCATTATCAAATCCAAGAGTGAAAAAGACAAAATTCAATTGTTTACAAGCTCATCGTAGTGTTGATCCAGAATTACTTTTAACAACAAAAAACCCACCAATTGTTATATCTGATAATAATACCGATGATCCAGAATTAATGACAAAATCATTGACGTTATTCGATGATGAACAATATGACTTATCTGCATCACCAATGGTGCGCTCATTACCACCACATTCAACTTTAGAATAACTCTTCACTTTTAGAATGATATTTTTGTTTTTTTATGTTTAAAGAATGATCTTCTTTCTTCTATTTCTTTTTCTCTGCGTGTGATGAGTGTTTGGTGCTTTATTATTATCAATCTTATTTTTCGTACGTAATTTTTTTTGTGTGCTTTACTTGTCGTATTCCTACGTTAGAATAATTTATCTTTTCTTTTGTGTCTATATATATATGTGTGTGTGTGTGTATGCGCGTGTGTAGATATGCTGCTCACTAACTTTTTTTACTATATTTGACAAAGATAATTGTTCAATATTTGGAATTTATTGTGTGATAAAGAATGAATGAATAAATCGTAATTACCAGTTACAACTTCTACAAATTCAGGAATCTTATTATCATTCTACTTTAGTAAAAAGTGTATATACATATGCAACTACCCGTAACTAAAATCTAAAACGGGCAAGCCTGAGTAATCAACTTACATTTGATTCGGATTGAAAATCGTCTAGTGTGTGCAGTTATTCATCGCGTAACATCAAAGCTATTCAAAAAACAACAACAACACATAGAATGATTTCGGGAAACAGCAAGAATTATTTTTGATAATAATTCATCGTTTTTTGATTTCTCTAGCAAAATTGTATATTAGTATCCGTACATTCACTCATAGTGAACATATCGAAACTGCTGATGTAGATGATGACTGACACGAATCGTACTGTATCATTTAATCTGAGTGGATCCATTCAAATTGAGATAGAAACAGAGACAGGATATCTGGACCTGAGATGTAGACTTATGACCTGTGACCTATCTTACTTGGATCTGACCTCAAAAAGGTGGTACAGAGAGCATTTTCAGATCAAACATGGTCAGTTCCAGTTGAAAGTGCATTTAGTCAAGCTGGTTTAATTACGTCACTGAAGCGTACAAATATGAAGCAGTCACTATTCGAACACTTAGTCTATTTAAAGGCAAATAGCAAGAAAGAAAAAACAACACCTCACTACACTTTTTCCACTACGGTAGTCACCGTGTAGTGACTTTGTAGTGGTCACGGGTAATGAAGGGAAGCAAGCAATAGATGTCTTTCTAGCTCAATGCATTTCGAAGATCGTGTTTCTACTTTACAGATTATTGTACTGATATGACACATAAGTTCCTCACCATTTAAAGTATAAAACCTCTTTCCTAGACATGTGCAGAGATATCAAAGATAGAGATGAGACGGTGTTCGTAAGAAACGACTATCATTCACACATTTCGTAAGACGTAGACATTTTTTCCTTCCTTCCTATATATGGCTAACGTTTGACTGTGGAACGAGACAAAATGAATAACGTTATACTGTTTTCTTTCACTACTTTCACGTTCATTAGAGAATGAAAGTGAAAGTTTTATTTCATATCCTTTGGAAGTATATCGATACATTTCAGTCAACCAGTGAAAGGATGAGTCATAGTTTTCGAAGAAAAAGATATTAGTGAAGACAACGAAGAAGCTGATATCATAGGATACATGTACTAATAATCGTGATAATAA